CCTGGTTCTCCCTCAGATAGGAGATCTACTACAGGCTAGTGCACATTTGTTGGTGGAAATCTTGTTACATGGAAAAGTAAAAAGCAAACAGTGGTAGCACGGTCTAGCGCTGAAGCAGAGTACAGGGCCATGGCCCATACCTCTAGTGAGTTAACGTGGATACAACATTTTCATAAAGAACTTTGGTTAATAGTCGAGACTCCTATTCAGTTGTTCTGTGATAACCAAGCCTATTCACATTGCATCCAATCCGGTATTTCATGAAAAAACCAAGCATATTGAAGTTGATTGTCACTTCACTCGAGAAAAGATATTAAGTGGGAACATTTCTACTCCATTGTGAAGTCTGAAGATCAATTAGCTGATATGTTTACTAAGGCTCTTGGTCATAATCGGTTAAAAGCGATTTGTTCCAAGCTGGGATTATTTGAATATATTCTCCAGCTTGAGGGGGAGTGTTAGAACATTTATATATTTATATTGGATCATGTTGTAATTACACATAGTTGGTAGGGTCATTATGTAATTAGCTCATTCCTGTATATAAGCTAAGCTTTGTTTGTTTAAGGCTAATTGAGAAATGAGAAACAATTGCAGCCTTCATCATCTCTCTCTCTCTTCCTCGCCAGTTTGAACAAGGACCAACAACACGATCATGACTATGGGTCACCTTCTTCTTTTTTTTTTCTTTTTTTTGTTAGTACTCCCACACACATAGCTCCACTGAGACTCGAACCCCTGACCTCCCATTTAGAAAGTAGGAACCTGGTACCCCTAGGCAACTGGCCTATTGGTCACTTTTGCTTGCTATTCCGATCACTTGAGTAGATGGAGTTTCATATGCGAAGAAGAAGGATTAGCCCTTCAAACATCATCAATTGGGGAGTATCTGATAAGAGACTCACTAGAGACCAAAGGAACGTACCCAAGAAACCTCATGTCTACCTTGCGGCCCACTATTTGGCAGCACCCGTGCCATTTAAAAATTGGAGCTCCCCAAACTAATTATCCGTTTTAACTGGAGCAGTGTTCTAGCCTAAACCATGCCCAATCCTTGCCCTTCAAGACGTGGCCCATTCCCACAATCAGGCGTAAAAGTCTTCCTTGGCCCATTTTTGCCCTTTAAACTGAGGCCCAATAAAACAATCAGAATTTTTTCTATTGGTATGAACAGATGGGCAAAGACGATTGGGCCCCAAAAGCAGTCTTATAGCCCAGCGATGAGGATTTTAAATACCTTTGCCAATCACGCGACCCCCCTCCCATCTCCACCCTTTTTGGGTCACGTGCCCGACAGTTATGTGCTCCTCATTACCATTCTAAGGACGGCTAACATGTAGCCATACATGATTAATCAATTTCTGACGCACATGCGCGTAGAAAATCGATCATCCATGTCCTTCAATCCATTGGACTTTTAAGTCGTTGCCTTTCATTAGTCGGCCGATCTCCCTTCTTATCAAGATACCTCATCTTCTCCACCTCAACCTGAGGAAGCGGAACCGTAACTAGGGCTGCAAATGAACCGTTCATGAACGGCTTGGGCTCGGCTCGTGAACATGGGCTCGTTAAGGCTCATGAACAAGTATCGGGCTCGTTATATACCTATACATATTTATATATATAAAGTAATGATGATTCAGAATAGTGACTTTGAGAATACATGTGACTTTGAGCTTTATTTTTGGGCTTATGGGTTGGGTTTTACTGATTGAAGCTGAAAGCATCACTGGGGTGCTTTATTTGGGATGTATCATTTAATTTGGGCTTGTCTATGTTATGGGCTTGATATACATTATTCTTATATTTATAATACAAGTTTACCTTTTAATATATATTTTTTTTTAAATAATAATTAATTTTGAGAACTCAGTTTTTTTTTTTTTTTATTATTTTTATTAAACGAGCCAAGCCCGAGCTTTTAAAATCAAGATGAGCACGAGCAAACTCCGTAAACAAACAAGCCGAGCTCGAGCAGACCCAAGCTCCGCTCGACTCGATTCATTTGGAACCCTAGTCGTAACCCTCTCGTTCACCCACGAGACCGTTGCCCCCATCGTCGGAGGGATTTTTTTCGACAACAAGCCCTAATACGAGACCCACTCATTCTCCACCATCACAAACTCCGGTAAGGAACCACCCACTTCCACCACAACAACAAATTTCTTAGTATCAAGCTTCTCATCCATTTCAACCCCTCTAAATCCACCACATTTCTCACCAATGGCTTCTACCAAGGAGTCGCACCACATATGCAATGGGAGTTCATACACCATGATCCGCTGGATGCCAAGCTTCTTCAAAATCTCACAGCACCCCGCAAGATAACCTCAAACATCTAACAAGAGACACGCCTCCCCCATCTCCATCTCCCCATACTTAACGTACCCTCTCTGCTACCTGATGTGATGGAAATCGAAACAAGTTCAGAGAAACCCCACTGTCCACCTTCCAAGTATAAGATGCTCACAAAGCAATTTTTGCAATACTTCCTGCTTCCATGTTGAAACGACTGACCAAATACAATCTAAGGACATCCCTTCTCCGTTCAATATTGTCGTCGTCAACTCTGAACGTTAATCCCCTGTCCGAGCACAGGCAAATCACCTCGCCACCAGTAGGTTGTCTGGGGATTCTTGTGACCTCCATAAAGGTCCTTCTCTCGCCTCTTAAGTGTTTCTTCAACAGCCAGAAGAAAAACCAGGAAACAAGCAAACCCAACTCCCCCACTAATCTGAGAAAAAAAAGAAACAAAAACAATCTGAGATCAGTGAGATTGTTTGTAGATGACAAACCGAACTATCAACAAACAATCTCGATCTAAAACTCAGGTTGGAAGAAAAGAAGAGTCGATTTCCTCACCTCTCAAAGGTGCTTCTCCATACTCTAGTGCGTAGTGAGAATTTCCAGTCATATTCTGCTAGAGTTTGCTTCACTCGATTATAATTCAAATGGAAACATAGGCAAAAAAAAAAAAAACTATCCTACTGATGACAATAGTTGTTAAAGGCTCAAGGCGCACTAAGGCGCCAAAGGCCTTCTGGATCCTAAGCGCAAGGCGCAGTATAAGGAGTGAGCCTAATTGAAGTATGGCGCATGTATATAATAATGCACATATTATTTTATCTGTATATATATTCATAATCAAGCTATAATTGCCGTTAATGTAAGCAGTAAACCATAAATTTATGAATTTTGTCAAATATTTCATAAGGTTAAACAATACAATATATGATATAGAAGTTTAGAACCTTTTAATTTAGTAGTCAATAAGTAAAAAAGAAAATGATATGAATAAATGATTAAAAAATACAAGGCGCGCCTTTTTTGAGCCTGGAGCCTACTAAAAAACGTGAGCCTAAGGGCTTTATGTAAGCTTGATTGAAGGGGCCTGGCGTGTAGTAGGTTGAGGCGCTCTAGCTGAGTCTTGACGAGTCTAGGCTTTTTTGTAGCCTAGGTGCACCTTTAACAACATGATGTTACTTTTAATTCATTTCCATTTTTACTTTTAATTCATTTCCATTTTTTTTGTTAAGCTATTTGTTAGATGCTAGATTATTCCTAAGCGAAAACATCAAGACCTTTCAGATAATTATCAAACTTAGCATTCATAGCATATATATACTTTATCTATTCATCATAGCATTCGTAGCATATTTTTTATATATATACTTTATCTATTCATCATAGATTTTAAATTACATGCATTGCCTAGTACATGCATAAGGACATATATATGCCGCTACAAACAACACCTCCCACTGCATCCATCTCTCTCCAATCTAATCTATTGTGGTTCCTTCCACTATACATAGTCTCTCTCTTCCATTTTCTTAGGTTTACTTTGAAAAGCCTAATTCATTTTTAGTGATTTTGTTAACCCACTCCAGATTGAAAGAGCTAGGGTCTCAAATGGAACACAACTATCATCGAAATGGACCACCAACTGTCACCGCTATCATCTCTTCTTTCTTTTTCTCCATTCTCCTTTTCTCTCTCTACCAACTGCCACTATTATTGCCGTTACCAGGCCTTTTATATACACTATTGTAGAAACAAAATATAAATAAATAAATAAAATTGATGCATCGATGTAACATCCTAAAAAATAAATAAATAAAATTGATGCATCAATGTAACATCCTAAAATAATCCCTAAAGATATCTACTTCAAAAACAAATGCATAATTGTGAATAACGACATGGCATATCCTCAGTTTCCAATTTCCATAATCGAATCTACTATTAGAGGCATCATTATCTTGCCACTACTGCTACGAGAAAAGGGGTAAATTGGAGGGTTCAGCGGGTGATCCTTATGGACAAGTTTGTTTGCTATATATTCCTTAGATAAGCCCAATTCAACTTCGAGACTAAAGATAGCAGCTTTCTCTAGAGAAGATTGGGATTTCGACAAAGAGATTTAGGGTTGTGTCAATGATGGTATCAGCTAACATTCGGAAGGTTGGTGGCACTCTCCTTTCTGCTGCAGTAGTGATGGCACCGCTGGTGGTGGTCCTGGTAGTCCTTGGGACCTCTTCCCCTGCATTCTGCACTCTTGTCTCATTCCCACATTAAGGGTAACTGGAATGGGCGATGGGGAGAGAGAATAAGAGTGGTAGGGTGAGCAATGGTGGTGGCAATGGAGAGAAATATGTCTTTATAGATATATGTGTGTGTGTGATTTGGTTGTCATGGTCATTTCATAAAGTTAATAGGGTCCTTTTCCTTCATATAAGGATATTTTTGGAACTTAAAATTTACCCCTTTTCACTGACCTAGTTGATTGACAGTAGGGATGGTTAGGGTGATTTTGTAAAACCTCAAGAGGATTTTTCAACTAGATTCATCTGAAGGTAATTTTGAAAAACCTCTGAGGGTGCATTACCATAAATTCTATTTTTGTAAGTCATCATACAGCCAAGTAATAAAGTTTCTAGAGGTGTAATGGTAAATTAAAGAAAAACAACATATAGTAGGCTGGTTCTAGTTGAGTTTACCTTTGGTAACCCTATCTCCTTGAGATCCTCATCAGTCATTTGTACAAGAATGTGCATACTAATCTGCAGAAAAAAGCATAAGACATGACATCAGTGATGGGATTTCATAAGGTAAGGGTTAAAGCCAAAGCAAGTAAATAAAATTGCAGTAAACAAAAAGGTATAAAATTCACACACTTCCTCATATTCGAATATTTTTGAATATTTTTCAAGACCCAGCGGCTTCAGGAAATCATTCACCAATACATACTGCACCAAATATGTATCAGTTGTGAGTACAAGAAAACACTTCAGAGTACATAAGTTACGGCGATTGTTCGGAGAATTGGTAATAAATTGACTATTTCCAGTGAGACATAAGTTTCATTGGAAAGAAATAGAGTGATTGTCCTCAAACTACATGATCAACATATAATTACTATATAAAAAGCAAGTCAACTCTTAAATAATTTTCCAAACAGTTTGAAATCGGTAAAAAAATAAATAAATAAATAAATAAAAATAAATAAATAATAAAAAATCAATATGAAATGCACCATGTCCCAATTCCGTTGGGACACTTCTGTCAATCTTACCCAGAAGAAAAAAAAAAAAAACAAAAAAAAAAAAAGAAAGAAATAGTAAAAAATTAACGTAATTACAAAACACTCTAACAAAACTAAAACCTCATTCTTTGTAAAAGTGATAAAATGCAACATCATAGGTAATATTTTTAAAGAAAGAATGGAAAAAAAGAATTCATGTGGCCGAGCCCATCTCTGTGGGATAAAGGCAAGGATAATGATGATGATGGTAAGTAATATTTCAAAAATTGAAAAACAGTAAGATTTGGGCATTTTCCTTAGTTCTTTTTCCCAAAACTGAAGCTGAGCTGACGGCTCTTTTTCTAGCAGTTTCACTGCCCCCAGGTACTGACTCCAGCTTTGGTGGATCAATGTCCATTGGCTGCATATGCGTGTTAACAGAGAAATAATCCTCAAGGTACTCAGGCTGATCCTTAAGACCTGAAATAAAACCTTTCCACTTTGAGTTCTTTGCTGGAAATCCTTCATATCTAAGACCAACTATACAAGCCACTGACATTCAATCAAAATACTCTGTACAAAAAGGTGCTATATATTATTATTGTTATTTATAATTACTAAAGACACACACACACACACACACACACACATATATATATATTAAGTCAGATAAAAGTAAAGTTGCAGTCTTTAGAAGAATGCAACTGTATCTCAAACAATTCGTACTTGTCCAGCATTCAGAATCGTAGTCAAATTCACTCCACCTGCAAAACAAATGACATCAAGTCAAAATAGAAAAAATAAAAAAATAGTAGGCTTTGTGCCTCGATATACAATGGCACTCCACCTCACAGATTAAGGAAACGAGATTTGTAGAAAACGAGAAGTGCATCTAAGATATTTTTTTACAAAAGGGCTCATAACTGTAGAACAGACATAATTTATATATCTATTACTCAATTTATATAAATCCATATGCCTCAAATGAAAACGCCATGCTTATTAGAATGTCAAATGCAATAAGTACCATACATAAATGAGAACAGGTCTAGGAAACAAGGAAAATTCTCTTATGGTGCCGTGGCGGTATCGGATACTCCGACACTTGTAGATATGCGGATACAGCTCGAACACGGTTAGAAGTATCATGGAAATTAAATATTTTATTTTCTGGTTGGACACGACTAGAACCGGCATGAAAACGGCAAGGATACATTTTGGACAATCTCAGGATACGACGGGTGGTTTTGTAATTATGTTTTTTGGAATAATGGGATTAATGCTATTTAAAATATAGGACGGGTTAATTTTTAAAATATAAAATTTAAGAAAACAAAATAACCTTTTGAACGCTTTCTAATAAAATTTTATTTATCAAAAAAATTAAAATTAAAATCAGAAAACAATTTTAGAAAATTTTATCTCAACATTACTCAAAATCAGTTCGGCTTTCATTAACTTCCTCGGGTTCCTATAATCTAAAATCTTGCAGAGACAACCTGTCGTTAATATTGCTAGAATTGGTAAGGAAAAGAGATTCGAACACTAGGAATCTGAACAGATCTGAAATCGTTGAAGCTTGACCTACATTGCAACAATTTGTAATTTAAAAGACGTCTTTATTTTTATTTATTATTTTCTAATAAGTAAAATGCTTCTTTCTTGTAATTTTTTTATCTAGCATAATATATCATAGTGTAAGACATAAATATCATTGCATGTGTAAATATTGATACGACAATCTGTGTTTCATTATTGGTGGGCCAAGTTCCTTTCCGTTCGTAAGTTCTCATACAATCATTTTAAATTAATTGGAGAATCGCTAGATTTGTTCAAACATCTAAAACTGTTTTCCTCAATCGCAAGTTCTCTATCCTTAAAACCTCATTCCTATATTCTTTAAGGCTTTAAGCTCAATACTCCTTGAGTAGAGCAATCACGTTTCTCATATAAAAAGTTGTCCTAAGATGAAGTTGGCTTGTCACAATGGACAGGCTTCAGTTCACTATAGTCTAATTCATGGGCTTGTATGACATCCCTGCTCAAGTTTTAAGGATGGTTTGAATGAAGGACTAGATGCTTCAAACTCAAAATTATCAATTACACAGGTCAACACAATCAAAATAGGATGTAAATGATTGGGAAAACATTTAATAACTCTCTCTCTCTCTGAAGAAAAAAAAAATGAAGAAAGAGGGGGTGGTTGACTTGGTTGGACCATCAAGATTACCACATAGGAGTTTAAACATTTGACCACAATATATGAATGTGTCTGTGTGTATATAAAATAAAAAAAATCCTCCTGGAATCAGCATCAACTAGTTAAAACAAGTCCTTGAATTGCAAATTAGAGAATCCTTTATGACAAGAAAGCCACGAAACTAATGAAAGGAAAAGCAGGAAAATACTTACCGGGAGTTCAAAAAAAGTGATTGTACATTTGCCTGACCAAGACCCTCCGTATTCAAGGGGTAGAAGTCTGCACTCACCGTTACAGGATCCATGCTGTCAGAAACTTTCAAGATCATGATGGTAACATGTTGAACTTTAGGGGGCACCCTTTTTATTTCAGTCCTCGCCACACAAAATATTTTGTTTCCCAAATGAACAAGACTCGAGGTGTATAACTCATACAGATCAAATGGTATCTTTGGAGAGTCCGTATCGACAATTCTCACTGGAGCACCAAGAGATTTAATGGTACGATCATCATCATCTCCAGTGGAAAATGTAACGTGGTATGCAATCAATAAACAATTCTCCACCAAAGTGTATACGAAATCGTCAACAAATTCAGACTTTCCAACGAAGGCATAATATCTCACATCCCTGTCTTCCTTTTCAACGACCTGCCACTTCTCCATTGAACTCCCGACTTTGTAACAATGGAATTCAGTTGAGCTATTATAAGTTGCATCTACAGAAATGAGAATAATGTCATTGACGACTGCGTAACCTACAACAGCCTTGCTTGTCTTCACCGGCACACGGTACTCAGGTATGATAGAATCCCACTTCCGATGAATAGGATCAAAACGTTCAAATGACGGAGATTTTATGCGGAAGCCAGAACACAGGGTATCTGTAGAAAGCACATAAAAACTTCCACCCACTGCCATCACTTTGGGAAAGGGTTTTTTTGCTTGTGGCTTTGGCAACTTATCGAGCTGTTTGGTAACTGTATCGAAAAGGAGGGGTTCGAACGAGATCATTTTGCGTTTATACGCTCCGGATAGCTCACATGAAGCCGCCAAGCATATTTGCGATCCTACCATATCACAATCAACCAATGAATAATGGTCCTCTTCAGAGCAACTAAACGCTTTCACCAGAGGACCATCAATTTTGATTTCCCCTCCATCACCAAATTTGATTTCATAAATTGCAGCACAGTGTAGGGAATCATCAAAACTTGCAACCATAAACAAACTTCTCGCCTCCTCCATCTTTAGTTGTCTCCTCCGCCAACACTGGTTTGTTCCAGGGCCGGCCTGAGATTCCAATATTTTGAGAGGCCCTAGGCAAACTTTCAATTGTGAGGCCCTAAGTTTCACACACGCAAAAAAAATTATAAGAGTGTGGAATTTTCACACGATATTTTCAAATTCTATAGCTAATTTTTTTTTTTTTTTTTTTTTTTTGATAAATAAATTCTATAGCTAATTTAATTGTGTGCATGTGCATTGTGCATAAGACAACTAACTAATAACTATAATCTTCATTCATTAAATCTTCATGTTCATTGACTAACTTCGTATGGTCTCATTCATTAAATCTTCATGTTTATTGAGATTTTCTTCATTTGCTTTCGCATTCATATGTTCTTCATTCACCGAATCTTCAACTAAACTCTCTATTTGTGTATTGCTCCTAAAAAAAATTAAGATTATCTCCATTTTGAGATTGAATCAATTCTTCTTCTCTCTTCTTTTTTTTTTTTCCTTTTTTCATGCCCAGATTCAAATTTTCTTGTAGACATAATGAAATCTCTTGAAATCTAAATAACAGGAACCATAATCAACATAAAACTAGACTTCAAAAAAATAATAATAATAATTTGCTTTGTTTAAAGAAAATATATATTACCTCAATATGCAATGATTTGATTCAAGTTCAAGGCAAATAACCTCACGAGATCCTAAGAAGAGTGTCCTGCTAGCATGTGAAAGAAGATCACAATTAACATAAAATGGATGGAGAATCAAAGAGAAACAATAATAACTAAGCATTGCCGATCATACAATATATATATATATATATATATATATATATATATATATATATATATATATATATATATATATATATATAAAATAAAATAAAAAATCTAAAATCAAGCAGTTTGGTCGAATGATCTCCTGGCTGGAGTTTTTCACTGGAATCTGGAGGAGAGGAGAGAAGACAAAACAGAGTATCCAAAATACAGTCCAAAAGTGGAAATGGGGAACAGAAAACTGCAGCTTCTTTTTTACATTCATTGTTTATATAGCTGCCAAAATTTGATGACTACAGATGACAAAAATATGTGGAGATGAGGTGACTATATATATAGGAGGCTGAACTTGTAGTGCTGAAGAAGTAGTGGGACTTTTAGGTAATATGTGGCATCCACTATCATATATAGTTTTGTCTTTCACTCTTTATATTAACTACACTTTGTGTGTGTGTTTTTTTGGAGCCAATTACCCCTTTCTTGATTTCAGGATAAGGAATCAACTTTAGTAGCAGTGATTGATTGATCATTGCTACAGAAGACCTGTGCAAATTAATAGAAAAACCATTAACTTTTGTTCTGTTAAAGCCTGCTCTTGATTTCCATGTGTTTGTACATTCTGATGGCAAGTGCTTTGACAGTATTATTAACTGAAATTCTAGCTGAGCCAACTTCAAATAACATCAATAATGGTGGTATGTATCTTCATATAAAAATAAAATATAAAAAAACCCTTAATTTGGCACTTTTAAGTATGAGCATAATTTAGAGATCGAAAAAGTTAATTATTACCTCAACGGCTCAACCCACTAGAAGGGATCCTTAATTTTCGTAGGATTGAATGTGAAAATGCAAAAACTTATGAGGAAAAGGGGTATGATTGCTGCTGTTGTGAGATTGGAGTGGAATTAGGGAGAGGAAAAAAAAAGTGCATGCCATAGATTATGGACTCGATCGCCATGAAAGACACATGTAGAAAGGCACACATTTATTAAAATACTAAGAGAACCATAATATATTCATTCAGCTTTTGATAGCCATCACACACAGTGACACACACAAAAAACCCCTAGTTTGGAAGCTACTTTTCACTATTGGAACAAAGGTAAAGGCCCGAATCAAACGAACCAAAGTTAGAACAAATCAAATGATGACATGAACGAAAGAAAGAAACATATATAAAAGATCGATTCATGCAAATGGAGAGAGAAGAGAGAAAGAGGATGAACATACCTTGTCACCTGAGGCGATAGCGGAGGCTGCGTCCTGCGGAGTGTCGAAGCAGATTGTGTCGTCTGAAACTTGCCCTAACTTAATACTCCGGTTTTTTTTTTTTACCCCTGTGGGCCTCAAAATTTGAGGCCCAAGGCGACCTAGACTTTTTTTTTTTTTTTTTTTTTTTTTTTTTTTGTTAAAAAAGCGGCGACCAAGACTTGTCCTAACTTAAATTTTGTTTTTTTCCATCCTCTTCGGGACTCTCAAAAATTTGAGGCCCAAGGCAACCGCCTTTGTCGCCTTGGGCCAGGGCCGGCCCTGGGTAGAGTGATCTTTTGAGCCGAAATATCTATTATATACAGATAATATAAATTAGTCTGATTGAATAAGGAGAGGTCTTTTCTTTTTTTCCTAATTAAGAGAAGTCATTTTTAAAATGCAACCTCAGATGATTCAAAACTTCACATTTTGAAATGTGTATACAGTAAGATATTATGTATACACATAATAAGATATATGTATACATAATAAAAAAGAAATATGTATATACATAATAAGATATTCACATTCAAATACCTCCACAAGAAAACATCTTATGTTTTTTAATTGAAGGATATATATATAGATATGTGGATGTAACAATTTTCTTTTTTTGTTTATTTGACCGAAGGAAACAAAAATCAGAAGCACAAAAAAGAGGCATCAAAATGCATTTGTCCATATGTATATCTGTACGCTATATTGTAAATGAAGTTTATTTTTGCTTTGAATTTGTATCTATTTCGAATGGAATTTACAATGTTCAATTGATAGTTGTCTTTTGTCTTCTTGTCCTTTTTGAATTCATATCCATGAGTTAAGAGATTGAAATTTACAATTATGCAGAGTTTAGTAGTTTTTTTCTTAAAGTACACTCATTCATACATTGCATGGTAATTTATGTCTAAACTAACGAAAGAGTCCAAATCCATCGGCTAATTATTAGATTTTGGGTGAGTAATTTGAGTGGATGGGTCAATTGAAAATGAATGGTTTAATTAGCGAGTTCAAAGCGGATATCCCACTCACAATATGCCCAAACATTAATTAAGGAATTGTTTGGTAGGCAATTTGTTTTAAAAAAAAAAAAAAAAAAAAGAAGGGCATTTGATAAAAAGTATTTTGTTTTGTATAATGTCAAAACTTTCCGTGATAAGTGCTCAAAAGTTGAAACACCAAATTGGAGTTTTTACATGATTCCACACTATAACAATAGCAATGAATAGTAAAAAAATAAAAAATAAAACTCCCAAATGACATTTTTAAATTATTACAATATTTTTTTACTAAACATGTTTTTATAATACTGTTTCACAAAATTTTACAACAAATTGACATTACCAAATATTCTCTATTATTATTCAAACCACTTTGAATTAAAATAAAAATACAAAAATAAAATTTCTTGTTCCTGTTAAAATAAAAAACAAAAAGCCATATCAAACACGCCACGCCCTCAGTTACTCAAAACATAAACTAGCAATTTTATCTCTCTAAAAATTTTAAAATTTTTTTAATTTTTTTGTCTTTAGTAGAACATCAAAACAACATTATGAATTTATGAGATGTGACACTCTCGGGTGGGAGTGGGTGACGGGAAATATACCACTCATATAACAACTCATGATGTATTTTTGAAAAAATTATTCATCGTCTAAATCACGTAGAGCGAAAACAAGAGCAAGAGCACGAGCGTGAGAGTGACATATTTAAAAAAATCTTAGAGTAGGAGTGCCGCTAGAGCACCGCATTATAAATATATAAAATATTAATTTATAATAATAAATATATGTTTTAAATAAATTTCATACAAATAAAAAGACAAAATAGTGAATCAAATATGAGTCCATTACAACCAATATAACCTGCTTTATATAAATGCATAAATTAACAAACATGACAATTAAATAAGCTGCTTTATAAAAATAAAAACATAACAGTGAATAAGGCATAATAGAAAAAGCAATGTTCAAAAACATTGTCTTTTATACATTTAACTTGTTTTAAATTCTCAAGATGACAATCATTGTCTTTGAAATAACAATTTTCTAAAACATATGAAAAGTATATGAAATAGAAGAGAGAATATGAAATGATGGAACGAGACTATAACTATAAGAGTAAATCAAGAGTCAATTACTAGTAAAAGAAGTTCAAAAATCACGAACTAAACACTTAATAACAGAGAGAAAATTGAGAAATCACAATTAAAATATGCAAAGTTATTCATTCATTTATTTCATTACTAATAAATAAGTATTATTAAATGTTAAGTGTATTGTTATATTATTTATTTTTTACCTATAAAGGATAGAGTTTACTTAATTAAATTAAATTGATTACTTTTTGACATAATTAACCGTATTTGGTCTATTTAAGTTGGGGGTAAAATCGAAATTTTTCAAGATTCACACTAAATTCGTGAATTTATTGTCAAAAGTCGTCGAATTCTTGAACAAAATACGCGATTTTACCTTACATAATTCGTCGAATTGAACTTTAAAAACCAACGAATTATTAAATTGAATTCGCGAATTCAAAATTATGAATTCACGAATTCAAAAACATGAGAGCGTGAATTTTTTGCGAATTCACTCTCAAAACGCCAAATCGCATACAAAGCGATGGAGCGCCAGTGATTTAAGCAAATTACGTGACTTAGTTCATAGTAATCGTTGCAACGTGCAGTGCAACAAACACTCCACTTAAAGCAAATTGAAAAATAGAAAATGTACATTTATTTCATATCAATTTCATACAAAAGTTTTTCTCATGTCAATCACCCCCTCATCTGAAATATATTCTCTTGCTGACATAAAAAATTGTATTCCAAATTTGAAATTTATAGTATATTGAAAATGATAAAGAAAGTAAAATTAAAAGAATACCAATTAAGGCGGCTAAAATTGGTGTGTGACGAATATGTGCCATTGTGGTTTACTATATAAATTAACTGAAAGGGTAGTTTAATAAACTAAACAAGTGATTAATTTTGTTGAGACCAAGTGATTATAGCTTAGTATTAAAATATTTCCAATTCCTATAATATCTAACAGTATATATAATATTATTATAATATATATATATATATATATATATATATATAGTCAACTACGGAGCATTCAAAAGCTGCTTTATAGAAGTCACGCGGACGGCGGGACCGGCTTGCTTTAAATGAAGGGAAAAATAAAATAAAAAATTATCAATTGCTCAGCAGATTACTGTCATTTTGCCTTATTCATTATTCTTACCAATCTGCATGTTGTATTTTTTTGGGTAAGTTTTCAGATTTGGTTACTTTCATCAAAATGTGTTAAGAGATCAGAAATGAAAGAAATAGAAGGAGATGGGTTTGGTTGTGATTACATTCTTATTACCTGAGTCATGGAAGTACACGTGGGTCTGTGAATGAAGAGAACAAATAATTTGAATTTAGAAAGCCGTTGGTTCTTGGTTTAGTTCGGAAGAGACTAGAGAGTAGAGAAAGACCCGAGAGAGAGAATAGAACCGTCATGTGCTAAAATGCGAGAAGAGAGCATATATTAAACAAGAGAAGAGCCAATTATATTAAATGCGAGAAGAGCCAATTAGTATCCAGCGCAATACTTAATTACAAATAGAATCTAAATTTAGAAAGAGAGAGGAATTTTTTTTTTATATATATATATTTTTTTATTAGAGAGGAATGTTAGTTAAGCGTAAACTATTACCATAAATTATTTTCGATTGAACAGCAGACAAAAACAAATCTCAAAATAAAAATTCAATATAAAGATACATAATACTCGTGTTTCACATCTATTTCGAGTTAAAGTGGTTGAATTTACCATATGCAATTTAGAGGATAGTTATTATTATATATTGCAACTTAAGAGATTGGAAATTACAATTATGCATAGTTTAATATTTTTTTTCCCCTAAACACACACCCGCACACTCACCCATACATAACATATTTCTATTCAAACTCAAACACTTAATTTCTATTGTGAAAAATGAGAAACCATGCAATCCGAACTATTAGTCCGAAATAAAGTTTAACTTTGAAATTTATTTATCACAATAAATAAATTTAACTTTGATATTTAGTTTCTTATTTCTCTATGTTGCAAAATGAAGTTTTGGCGCATTAAGAGCATATAAAGGTTTAATTTGTCCAAAATATTTCTTACTTGATTATTTTTTTCAAATTTATATTATTACAACATTGATGTTTTTGATAACTGAATTCCTTTGACCAGTCTTCTAAGTGAATTTCTTAATAAAAGTACACACATTAAATCGGAGGGCGATTGTATGCTGATGAGTATCTATTTAATATATATTTGATTCTCCGCCAAATTTATTTTTCGTTCCTATGGAGAAAACCCTAGAAAAACTATTATATCTAGAAGAGAAAGTTATTCAAGTTTAGAATTGTAAGTTAGAATATTTTTTATGTTGCCATCTTTTAAAATCCACCCCATTAAACTTTTCGGGCTTTTTCCCATTATTGACAGGAACACTAGTCATAGTTGTACTTATACTTGCCATTCGTCTGTTATATATAAAATATACCGACCACAATTTAATTCACGGAAATATAATATAACAACAATAATATTTAAATAACAATGTTGTAGTAAACTGGAAAATAACGACGAATCTGTCTTAAGATTGTTATCCAAATGGAGGTGTATAGATGTATCATATACTATAATATTACTATTTAAATATTATAGAAAATATAATATATATAATTATTATTATAGAAAAATAATATATATATATATATATATATAATTATGTGATAAAGTATATTATACTAAATAATATATTATTACATATTTGTATAAAAATAAAACCGAACTATATAAATAAAGGAACCTGATAATAGCCCGATGCTATAATTTTATTCTATATCCTTAAGACAGATTCGCTCTGCTATGGTGCTGACGGCCTCTGTAACGTCTGTCTCCCATATTACAACGACCTTTCTTTCTTCGGTAGCAGCATTGCAAACCGGAGAAATGGACGAACATGGGCGGTGAAGTATTCTTTCTAAACCAGACTAGCTCAAACTCACATACTAAAACTCTGTG